CTTCTGGGATCGAAGCGGTTACGCGTCGGGGCCGCTCGTGATATCTCTAAAACAGACTCGAATTCTGTTTGGGAATCGCACGTACGAAATTACAGTCGCCCGACAGTCTGGAATGCGACCGAATCGATTCGCTCGCGACGAATGGGACGGGACGAAGTTTCGTTTCGCTTTTCCGTTTCGCGAATTATCCGAGCTCCGTGCTCTGGCATCCTACTCTGCAATCATGCAAAATTCAATCAATTAGTCCTCGATCGTCCCACGATTGATTCTTATGCGCAACTTCGTTCGAATCCGTTATTCGGAACAGATGAGTTGCCTTTTATTCGTTATCGTTGTTCGGTGACATTTCATTTTCCACGCAATTCTGTTATTCCAGTTTCATTCGTCGCTTTGTTTAACTGGCTTACGAAGATCATTTTGTATTGTAATACGGTCGAGTCCGGTTATCGCGTCTCACCGCTTTATAATTCATACGTAGGCTCATCTCGCAATTAGAATAAGTCGACCGATTAGATAAGGAACCGGTAACATGATCTTCGTTCTCATGGCGATGCGTGGGTACGCTTATGCTCGTCACTGTGTGCACGAATTTCTTTATTCCTTTCCATGAATAAAAATACGATTGTTCGAATACATCGTACCTGGTTTTTGTTGATGATTTTTTGTTAATTTTTGCTTGTAACGACGTAACATCGCTGTATTATTTAACAAACTGAACGTTACCGCGATAACTATCCCGCGGTAAATTTACCTTCTTAGTTTCGCTCGCATTAATTATTGACCTCGATATCGTTAGAATATTCGGGATCGGTATTCGGCATTCAACGTGCTAATCTCGCGCACACTTGTCAGTTCCAACAAAGGAATCCTGATCGATTGACTATTGTCTCGATTTGACACCGCGAGACGAATGAAGATGAACGACGGGTCGTCTAGCTGCGTAACGTCATCCTCCGCCGCGTCGTCCTCGGAATTGACGCGAGTCTCAAGGCCGGCGTCCGATAGATTAGAAATTGGTTTTTCGCGTGGGTCAGAAGCGTGTCGGGTCAATTTCTTCGTCCCTGTTGGAGACGTAGGAACGCATTCGCACGGTGTCGTTCGTTGAAGGTGTAATGATCGGGGACACGCGGGTCAAACGGGCCACGGTTCAACGATCCCTATCTCGCTGGTGAAAAATTGCGTAACGTTGACCTCTTGGATAATGTCTGGGTCGAGTTTGATCACCCTCCGTTTATACATCGATCTGTACGCGCGTATGCTGGCCGGAGCATAGAAACGGTGTCGCGTCACTGGAGTCGAAAGAGGCCTTGAAACAGCATCAACGCGTTCGTCTGTGCAAGGTGGTGTCGCGTCGCAACAGGGGCGGTTCTACGGGGTGGTTTACGCAACTCGGGGCCGTCGTAACGTTTCTTTTCCTGGCGCAATTACATCGCGGATAACAAATGTTACGAAACGAGTGACGGAAGCCGAGCGTTCGCAAGGACTTCGAAGAAGCATTCTCCAAGATAACTGTTGGGGTGACGAATGCCAGATACACCGCGCGTGCCACGTGGGCGACGGAATCGTGAATAGACCGAAACCGTTTCGATTTGCATTTTCCTTATCCCCGAGGTCGCGTGACGCGCCTCCTCTTCTACGGCAACGATAGCCAGCATTGTTATTACATGCTCAAGGATGAACAGTTAACGGTGCACAAAGGAGCCTGCGATTTTTTCGCTCCTGTCGCTCGAAGCGAATGGTCGCGCGATCCTTGATCATTGTACCTGAAGAAACATTACCTGAACACATCGACGACTCTGTAATCTTCGAGAACTCGGAAATCGGCAGTTTGGAAATGAATCTCGTTACAGTAGAACCTCGGTTATCAGGAACGAGATTTGTAAGCAACGCTATTTATTGTAAAAACCAGTATAAATTCAATCAAGTTTACGTTCTTATGATCGGTTCGGATAATCGAGGATAACTACGAAAATCATAACATAAAATGTGTAACAAGAAATAAGAAGGAAAAAGCAGCAAGAGCAAAAAATATAGGAGATATGGTTTATTATTTTAGTAACAAAAATCGCAGATGAGCATGCAACTAGGATAGCAGTCAACATTTTACAGTAAAATCTAATAATTGCAAGAAAGAATAAGCTCGTATTAGGAGACATTTTCATTCTTCCCTATACTTGCGTAGGTGTTCGGTTTTATACCATGCTATAGTCTCCCTTTTGTCCCGCGTGAGGTGATTTAGTAAACATGTAATATTCACGCTTCGGCATGATATAAAAAACTAGGCAATACCTTGAAATACAGTTTAAGGGCTATAGAATCTAATGACGTGCTTGCCATTGTTAATATTAAACATGGAAGTTAAAAAAAGACGGATGAAACGCCGGTAAAATATCGAACTACGTCGTCGTAAATTTTTCAAACACTTTAACTTAAAAAAGAAACAACATGCGCACGGCATTACAGTTGATTACAAAATTGCTGCAGATTAGATATAATTCAGTCATAAATAACAATGTATGCACCATTTTAAAACACAGAAATGGTTTTAATTACTTATTTTTACTGTGAACAAAGGAAACAAAACTACGAACATTTTGAACATATAAATTATTCATATCGTTGAGTAATATTACGCTCGGTCCGATGTCACACGATGTGTCATTCGCTGCTCTTGTCTTAGAAAAACGATGTTTGTTCCAAATGTTTTCACATGCATTATACAGGGTGTCCCAAAAATGTCTCACAAACCAAAAGTGGCGGGTTCCTCAGGCCATTTGAAGCAACTTTTTCCTTTGCGAAAATTTTCTCCGAGGCTTCATTTACGAGTTATTAACGAAAAACAATGACCAATGAGAGGCGAGCTCAGCTGGCGCGAGACGACCGAGCCAATGAGCGGAACTGGGCTTCGTGCGCTGGTTGGCTGGGCCACCTCGCGTCAGCCGTACTCGATTCTTATTGGTCACTGTTTTTCGTTAATAACTCGTTAACGGTGCCCCGGAGAACATTTTTGTAAAGGAAGAAGTTGCTTCAAATGATCCGAGGAACCCGCCATTTCCGGATTGCGAGACATTTTTGGGGCACCCCGTAGAATAGCAGAAATTTAGAATAGATGCAGTCTCTGCGCGAAGTCGCTCATAAAGCCCCGTATTCCAAAGCTCCGATGTCGTCGCTTCGCCGTCCCTTTGTCGGACTTCCCAGTAATACCGAGTAACGAAGTCATCTAGATAGCTTTGACGTCACCAGTCAGTGGTAACAGCCTGTATCTGATCAGCCCCGGAAACGTGAATCGAATCGAATCGAAGCGTTCGCGTAGGTGGACAGGGAAGCGATCGTCCTCCCTCAGAATGCAGAAAGCATTCCCGAACAATTTCAGGTTCTTTTGTCGCGCGGCAATTTCCCGTCGTCCGCTGGAACGTTCTTTCGATAGGTTCGCCGAAAGGGATCGAGATCGAGCACGAGATGCTTCGAGCAGGCCTCGTCGGGGTTCGATAATGCAACTGTCGGGCGGGGGAAAAATGCTGGGCAGACGATGCCCGATACGATGCAGCCCCGCGATCGACAACCTCGTGACACGCTGCGAGAACCGTTTTCGAGGAGATGCCTCGCGCAGCCACGATGCACCGGCGAGAAACGCGCATCATAATTGCATCCACGAATTATAGGGACGGGAATCGAACGGAAATTTCGTTATCTTGTTAAGGGTTGCGACCGAGCGCAGACAATCGGACGCGACGCGATTGTTTACAACGAAGCGTTCGGTTCGAGTTTAGTACAATGGGCCAATTGTACAATTAATTCGATCGGAGGAGTCCTGCAGCGAATTCGAAAAATATTGCTGCAACCTTGGCTTTCGTTAGGCCTCCGTCGAATCTAATCTAGCAATTCGTCGCAGTTTTTACAAGCGACGCGCGTTACGGGCGTGTGAAATTGGTGGTTTGGTTATCGGTGACGTCAGCGACTTTCCAGTTACAGATAGCAAGGTATGCATAGCATAGTTTGTACATCTCGTGGTATCGACGATAAAATTTAATAAATATACTGTGCCGACCAAAAGAGTCGCGTGTGTACCCGAGCAAAATATACCGAACCTGTTCGACGCAGTTTGATAAACTCCCGGAAAGAAATTAGAAAAATTTCGTAAAACCCGATACAGTATCGGGTAAGTAAGTATAGTAATCTCTATTTCTATTCCTATTTCTTCTTCCTTCTCTCTCTCTCTCTCTCTCTCTCTCTCTCTCTCTCTCTCTCTCTTAAATATTTCAAATTACAGTAATGTCTCCCTAATTGACGCTCAAATTGTCCACAAAAATCGGCAGTTTTGGAAGATGATCCTTGCGAATTCCATCCCTGCAACTCGTTTTTATAGTTGCCGATTTACAACAGTTATAAAAACGAGCTTGCAAGACTCGAACAATCGTAGCTTCTCTTCCCAAATTGTCCATTTTTGTGGACAATCTGAGCGTCAGTTAGGGAGGCATTACTGTAATTTGAAAATAATAATAAATATTTGAAATATATTTGCACTCGGAGCTATTTCAACTGTAAATCTAGAATAATTTTTCTGGCTTATAGTACTTTTATTTTATACGACAAAGTGCATTTTATGCATATGAAATTGACTCTTGTGACTCACTTAACAATTATTTAAATCTAAATTTTGTTAATATAAAAATTATCTTAGAACGTGATATAACAAATTTTAATGGCGCCTCAGAGTCACCACTCGAGCGCAAACGGTTAAGAAGGAAGAAGAAATAAGAATAGAAATAGAGATTTATATCACAAATATTAAAAAAACATTTTCTCAAGCGTAGCCGACACGGATATATCTGAGATGGTTGAGCGAAATCGGAGCGATTTCATGGAGGAAAAACCGTAGCACTTATTCTTCTTCTGCGTAGAAATAAGAGATGAAGCATAATACATAGAATTGCTGCACATGCATTCGAGATCGGTGGCTTAGGATGGCTACGTCGATGATACAGTTCGCTTGATTGCAGGGAAGACGACAGGTATGCAAAGGTGGCGTGGAAAGACGTGAAGGTCGGCGACCTGGTTCACCTATCGAACAACGAACTGGTGCCGGCCGACGTGTTGCTTTTGCGGAGCAGCGATCCTCAGGGCTTAGCATACATCGATAGCTGCAACCTCGACGGCGAGACCAACCTGAAGCAGCGACAGGTGGTCAGGGGATTCGTCGATCTCCAGGACACGTTCCAGCCGGCCAAATTCCGCTCGGTGATCGAGGTCGATCAGCCGAGCACTAGGATCTATAGGTAACGCGCAATCGTCACGAGCTAAGCTCCTTTCCACGTCGACGGGCGAGACGTTGACAAAGAGAACCTTTCAGGTTTCACGGAGCCGTGGTTCACCCGAACGGCGGCAGAGTACCTGTTTCTACGGAAAACCTTTTACTCAGGGAGTGTTTGCTGAAAAACACCGACTTCGTGGAGGGCATAGTGATTTACGCCGGCCACGAGACCAAGGCGATGCTGAACAATGGCGGGCCGAGGTACAAGGTATGTCGGGACTGCATAATTGCCGAGACACCGGCGAAACCCGTCGAATTACAGGGATTCTGAAATAACGGAAACGTGCTCGGAGAAAAGCCGCGCATCGCGTTCTTTAAATTAACGCGAAAGTGAAACTACTTTGTTTCGCCTTAAAGGAACGCGTCGATTGAAAGAGTTCTACAACGAAACTGCTATTTTCCCAGCGTTCCAGGCTGGAAAAGCAGATGAACAGGGACGTGATCTGGTGCGTGGTGATCCTGCTGCTCCTGTGCGTGATGGGCGCGATCGGTTGCCGATTATGGTTGTCCGGCTACTCGGGATTATCGTTCGTCCCGTTCATCCCGGTCCTCCAGGACCCCGGCTACGAGAGCATGCTGACGTTCTGGACGTTCGTGATAATCATGCAGGTGATGATCCCGTTGAGCCTGTACGTGACGATTGAGATGGCGAAAGTGGGCCAGGTGTACCACATCGGGCATGACGCGGCGTTGTACGACACGGAGACGGATCGTCCCGCCGAATGCCGGGCGCTCAACATCACGGAGGAATTGGGTCAGGTGAGGGCGGATTGATCGGGCTGGCACGCGCTATATGGATCGAGTAGCGATCCTTTATTTCATAGTTTACCGTCGTGGACGAGAAGACGGCCGATTCGAGGAGACGGCCGCACGCTTCTCCGTAATCCGCGAGCACGAGAACCGAATCCTTGTCCCCGTTGTTCGCGCGTTACTCGTTAACGGAGGATTTTTCCAAGATTCTTATAAATAATCTCGATAGATCGTGGATTCTTAGAAATTTATATTAACTTCTTGGAACTTGTATTAGCTATAATATTAGCTTCTTTTCCAAGTTTTGCGTCAGCGGAGGATTTTTCCAAGATCCTTATAAATAATCTCGATAGATCGTGGATTCTTAGAAATTTATATTAACTTCTTGGAACTTGTATTAACTATAATATTAGCTTCTTTTCCAAGTTTTGCGAATAGACACTTAGCCCTTTGCACTATTTCAACTCCAAAATGAAGATATTTGAATCTTATAGTATTTCCATTTGGTATGATTGTTTTTATTTCATACATATGAAATTGAACGTGTATGCTTATAGAAGACTTCTATTATTTAATAATTTTTCGAATACAAATTTAATCATGTAAAAATTCTTTTGAGAATAGTGTAGCAATTTTTAACGTCGCCTTAGGGTCGCCACTCGAGTGCAAAGAGTTAAAAGTATTCTACAGATTCGGAGAATCACTAGACGATGATTGAAATTGATTGTACGGTTTATTTCTTTAAATTTGTTGTAAATTTGATTAAAAGACGGTTTGTAAACGTAGATAAAGGATCGGGTCAACAATGTGTGACAAACTCTGAAATTGACGAACGACAGATAAGGGATTTTTCTACAATGCACAGTTGATTGAACCAACTAATCTTGATAAAACTAGAATCTATTACAATCGCTTGACCAATGTGCATTGCCTTTCGATAACGACGAGATCGCATTTCTCGAGATACTGCATGATTTTTATCGCGATATAATCCTAACTAAATAGAAACAACAGCACCTTGCCGCTTTCAATAATCGTTAAATGAAAAATCAGAAATCATTTTGTCGAGTTTGGTTTTGTCAAACGCTAGCAGCAGGGCTTTGAATGATCCTTTAGTAGAATAATTCGAGACAAATCGGAAACGAATGGTCCCGCAGGTTCAGTACGTGTTCTCGGACAAGACTGGGACGCTGACGGAGAACAAAATGCTGTTCAGACGTTGCGCGGTGGGTGGCCAGGACTATTCTCACACAGGTGAGGGCGAGAATTTGATGCCCTCCTCCAGACTGAAGGAGGATCTGCTGATCAGCACGTTCCGACACAATCTGCAGGAGCTGCTGGTCGTGCTGGCCATATGCAACACCGTTGTGGTAAACTCGCAACCTCACTACGACACCATGAACTCGAGCGGGGTGATCGAAGAGCCGCAGAAGAACGGCGACGAGACAGGAAGGTTCGTACAGGGGGTGTCCCTTCATTCGGATCGATTCGCGTACGAATCGATTACTCACACGAACCCCTCCGCCTTTCAGGTACACGAGAATGATAGAGGCTAGGAGTTTGACCCCTTCGCCTGTCATTCCGTTGGCCACGTTCTCGCACCCGGCCAACAACATCGAGGACAACGTGTCCTCCATATCCTCCATGGTCGAGATGGAGTCTGTCCTGAACCACTCCACCAAGCCCTTCAGTAAAGTACCAAGGTATTTTCTAATCCTCTTTCGTATATAAATAAATTCACCATCGCGAGGAATCGAGCGAGAACAGCTTTATCTCGACGATCTAGAGCAAGCAAGTTTAAACATTTATTCGAAGCTGTGGCTGTGGCTTTCGACTGGTCGTTGAAAATAATCGTACGTTGAGGGAATAAATGATATCGAAGAATGGCAAAAAGATGCCATTCGAGTTCCTAGAGACTGCGAGGACGTTCGAGTCTAATCAAAATTATAGACGCATAATAGTCACAGGGAGCCAAAGCGGAAATGGATTCGAAGCTGCGCGCTGGTAGATATCGTTAAAAATCTACACCTTGAGAGGACATACGACATCAAAGAATGGTAAAAATTTGTCGTTCGTGTTTTCAAAAGCTTCGAGAGTGTTTAAATCGAAACAGAACTGCAGATACATACCAGTCGCAAAGTAAAAGATTTTTCTTCATAAGAAAGATCATGACAGTTTAGCCCAGGCAAGTTGAAAAATTGATTTCAAGCAACAAACTAATAAATATCGTTAGAGACAATCGTACATTGAGAAACCAAACAACATCGAATAAAACTAAATATTCATTGCACATATTCGATACTAAGCAGAAGATACTAAGCTAGCCTCTAAAATGAGGCTATTGTCCCGAGAGCAGGGGTGTGTCAAACTCAAAAGCTAACTTGGGCCAAATAAACAATGCTTAACTTTAGGTGCGCCGCAAAAAAGAAATCAATGTTCATAGAAACAAATATTTTTATTTTGACTAGTACATTGTAATAAACATATATAAAGTTAAATTATTGTTTACGTCCTGATACTTGACATCGCTTCTCTGATACTATCAAAATTCAAACTACTTTCAAAATTTCTAATTCATATTTCTATTTTATTTTTACTTTGCGTCGGATATATTGACTGGGCCGCAAGAACGTTCATCTCGGGCCGCATGCGGCCCGCGGGCCCCGAGTTTGACACCCCTGCCCTAGAGCATCTTTCTTCGTTATTAGGAGTTAATTAGTGGCTCCGACGGTTGCAGGCCGAAGTTCCTGAACGTGACGTCCATACCGAGCCTGGGAATGGGACTGCTGGGACGAAAACTGTCGCCGAACGGCGCCCAGAAGAGGCGCAGCCCGCTCAGTCCCGTTATCGACGCTGCCAGGAAGAACGGAGACGAATTGCTACCCGCTGCTGCGATCTACGAAGCGGAAAGCCCGGATGAGCTCGCGCTGGTGAACGCGGCCCGCGCGTACAACGTGAAACTGTTAAAACGCACGGCGCGCAGCGCGATCGTATGCCTGCCGGATAAATCTATCCTCACTTTCGAAATACTTCACGTAAGCTCGTCATGGACTGCCGCACTTATGCTGCTTGCTCCTGCCGAGCGTCACTTTCTCCGAAGATTACGCTGTCCGACGAATTTGTACCTTTCTTTCACGCTGCCGTGACCAAATGATGATGCTCGTGTATCCCCGCCGGCACGAGCTGCTGAGAAATTCCGTGGCCGTTGCGGATTGCCGTAATTCATTTAGACTCCATCTCTGACAAGTCCATTCTCTTCCCCTCGTTTCAACTATTCCAAAATGAATCGGAGCATTAGAAGTCAGCATCAGTCAGTTTATTTCTAATCTTCTATGACCGATGCAGATAGCAATGAAAAATGAATTAGAATGCCAGGAGTTAGCAGCATTCACACTACGACGATATTCAGTATTATTATACTGATAGCCAACGCGTCTTGCAGGTGCTGCCTTTCGACTCGAACAGAAAGTGCATGTCGATCCTCGTGCGACATCCGCTGACGAACGAGCTGATACTGTACTGCAAAGGTGCGGACACCACGATCTTCTCGTCGCTGACTCCTCAGGAAGAGAGTTCCGCTACCACGTTGAAGATTCGTCAGCACTTGCAGTCGTACGCGCGGCAAGGTCTCCGAACTTTGGTGATGGCGAAAAAATCTCTGACGGCGCAGGAATACGAGACCTGGCGGCAAGCGCATACCGAGGCTGAGCTGGCGATGGAGAACCGTGAGCATCGTATCAAGGACTCTTACGCCGTCCTTGAGTCGCACCTGACGTTGCTGGGGGCGACCGGGATCGAGGACAAGCTGCAGGCCGGAGTGCCGGAAACTATGGCCAATCTGGTGGCCGCAGGAATCGTGGTTTGGGTTCTCACAGGTATCTACACAATCTTGAGAGATTTTTAAGGTGTTCGCGTAGCTAACGGATCGTTTCTCTCGGAAGGGGACAAGCCGGAGACTGCGGTGAACATTGCATATTCGGCGCGGCTTTTCTCGCCGGCGATGCAGTTGCTATGGCTGCAGGCGCGATCCAAGACGGTCGCTGAGACTTTGATACGTGGCTACCTCGAGTCTGCTAAAAGGGACAGCATGATTCGCGGGAATGACTGGCGAGACATCAGGGAGAACGTGATATTAAACCGAGACGTTGCTGAGAACGATGCGCACAGGATAGACAGTCCCTGGCCGAAACAACGGGCACTGGTCGTCGATGGGAAAACTCTGACTGTCATCTTGGACCCACGGTCAGGATTGATCGGATCGTTTCTCGAATTGACGAAGATGTGTACCAGCGTGTTGGCTTGCCGAGCGACGCCTCTGCAGAAGGTACATTTGAATAGCTTCGGTATTGTACAGCTTGTCCGTGACACGGAACTGAAACGTCTTGTCGCATTCCAGGCATACATAGTGCGAATTGTGAAGGAACAGCTGGGAATGAGAACCCTGGCGATAGGGGACGGTGCGAACGACGTTAGTATGATACAAACCGCGGACGTGGGAGTCGGTATCTCGGGAAACGAAGGTACACAAGCCGTCATGGCCGCAGACTTCGCCATCTCACGATTCTCGATGCTTAGCAGGCTTCTACTGTTGCACGGGCACTGGTGTTACGATCGCCTGTCCAGGATGATTTTGTACTTTTTCCACAAAAACGCCACCTTCGTCTTCCTTGTGTTCTGGTTCCAGGTATAACATACTGCACGCATATTTTGTAGTAGCATAGACTTAACGTGCGAAGTTGATATTTGTGGGAGGAGTCAGCGAAAATGGGCGGAGCTAATCGAAGGGGCTTGCCGCGAGAAACTAATGAGAATCGGTGGGAGGAGCTAGGGAAAGTAGATATGCCGCATTAACACGATTTATCACGAGAAACTAAAGATAATTTGTGAAAGGACTTGAGCAGACTTGAGAGTACCGACTGCGGGAGACCAATGAAAATTCGTGGGAGGAGCTAGGATGAATAGGTGTAGCAAACTAGAAGGAGTTATCGCGAGAGAGTAAAAGTACTAAGTAGGAGCTAGAAAAATGGGAGAAGTTAAATGAGGGGATTTATCGCGAGAGGTCAGTGAAGATCAGTGGGAGGGGCTAGAAGAAAGTTGTGAGCTCTAACCCCGCCCTGTTCCGCCCATTTCCTCTTTGTTATTCGCGCCGCGAACGTTAACTTTGCTCAGTAGAACAATTGATTGTTTTTCGCAGCTGTATTGCGGCTTCACCGGATCAGTGATGGTGGACCAGATTTACCTAATGCTGTACAACCTGATGTTCACGTCGATGCCACCCCTTGCGTTGGGCGTGTACGACCGAGTTGCCTCGCCAGCTGTTCTAATGGCAATGCCTCCACTGTACAAAAGAGGACGTCTCGGACTGGTCTACCAGTCGTACTCGTTTTGGCTAACGATCGCCGATGCTTTGTATCAAAGTATCGTTATCTTTTTCATAAATCACTCCGTTAGTATATAGTCTTGTCATCCTCCAAGAGCCTCGAGGCCATCGAGAAGATCTCTAACTAGTGTTTGGTTCGATTCAGGTGTACTATGACACGGCTATAGACATATGGGAATTCGGAACCACCGTGATGTCGTGCTGCATCGTCGTCATGCTTGCCCACGTTGCCATAGAGACGCGATCATGGGTAATTCAACGTTTCTTCATTTTTTTCTTTTCTTTAAATTGATCTTGTAACTAGACAGCTCACCGTATGATTTTCCAGACTGTAATCCACGTGCTAGCTATACTAGGATCCATGGGTGTGTTCTTTGGATTCTGCTTGATTTACAATGTGGTGTGCGTGAACTGCATGGGCCTACTTTGCTCATATTGGGTGATGGAGATGGCTGTCATGAGGCATACGTACTGGCTCACGTTGATGCTCACCTGTGTTCTGGCATTGCTACCAAGGTACGTTGCCGTTTCTACGCACTGAAAGGCAGACCATCAAAATTCCATGCATAATCGTTGCCGTTGTTCTCTCTCTCTCTCTCTTTGCCCAGGCTACTGTACAAAACCATAAAGTCGACCGTATCGCCGGACTTCGCGCAAAACGCCACGTTCAAGGCGCCGTTGAAAGCCGGAAGCCATCGACAGCGGATCGCCGAGAGGAGCGGGAATAATTTCATCGCCGGCTGGTCTCGCTCGACCCAACACGCCACGATCAGGTACCCGTTAATTGGATTCATAGGAACCACGAATCGTTGGAGGCTAAACAACCGTTCTGGTCACACGTCGGCTGACTCCGTTTCCCGTGTTTTAGAACCGGAAGCAAAGACGATGCGTTGACGACCATCGTTGCATGACACACCCTGAAACGTCCGACAAGACTGTCAGCGCTTGGTAGCAGATCAACCGATGCTTTCGAGCTCGTCGCTACGGCCGAGACCTTGAGCAGAGGAACGGCGTCCATCGCCGTGTTTCAACCGTGTACTGTTCCTAAGGTTCGAAGAAGTATTGCTAGGAGGTTTACGTTAATTTTAGTGTGCATTCTCGGTTCGAACGGGAACCAGTTTCGCCGGATCGGGAGCATGTCGTTCGATTGATATAATGTCGTCGTTTACCGTCGATCGGTGCCGATTAGTGTCTTTTTAGTTGAATCGAGTGGCTTTACATTTCCGACTACTGTTGTTCGTTGCATTTGATGGCTGTGACTTTTAGGGACCAAGACTGTTTAGTCCGTTAGCAATATATCGTTGTGCATCGACGGTTCCAGTGCGAGCTCCATGCGGGATTTGTTCGAGACGCGGGTTGCATATCGAATTAAGTAGAATGTAATTCAGGTCGTAAGTGTCCTCTTAGGAGTAAGAAAACAGGAAGTGTACACTGTAAAAGCGTGATATATATCTGGAGGCAGCGGTGCGAGGAGGTGGCAAACCTTGCAGCGATGCAAATCACGGATGCGGCATGAAAGGAACACAACTCCTGCAACTTCCCTCTGAAGTTCCGTGGATTTTTGGGAAGAAAAGGACTGTCGTGGTCTCGACTGCCCTAACTAAGAGAATTCTAGACTGCAGATAGAGAACCATGAAAATTTTGCAATGGAAACAGGGGATCAAATGTTAAAGTGCCTAAAACTACGGAACATTTGGGTCTTGCAAAGGTTTGAATCTTACATAAATTTCAGTCCCCAAAAAAGTTCAAATTCCCACGATTATCTGAACTCTATGAACAGTGAAAGGGAAAGTGGCATTAGTGAATAGACTTCCTCCCCGACACGAAAAATGTAACAGCCTCGATCGTCTCGTAATTATTTAAGCCCTACGAACGATGTAAGAAAGAATGACAATAGTGGATCAAATTCTAAAGTGCCTAGGATCATAAGAAATTACGGTTTCGCCAAAATTCGATTTTTGCAAATCTTTTCGGTCCCAAAAATTGCAAGGAACTACGTCGCACGAAAGTTCCTGGAATCCACAGGTATAATAAAGGGCCTTATGATAGAGCCTTTGATTCACGGTTCGCTAGGTTTGCCACCTGACTATACATCACCGCCTCCGAGCATGTGTACGTTGTCTCGTACGATGTTAACGTTGTACAAATATAGTATATTTACGCTGTATACGCGAGCTGGTGTTACACGGAACACCTCTCACGCTCGTGACTGTATTATTACCGTAATTTCGGTGACGTACGTGTATAAGCGCGTATCTGCCAGCATAGAGGTTCTATTATACATGTGTATATTCCGCAATTATCGACGACACGTTGCACGTGTTGACATAGTATTTTGATATACGATTGACAGCAACTGCGTGTATTGTAGCGACGATAGTAAACCAAGTGTTCTCTAAAGTGTTTCTGCGTCTTTCTTCTGCGAGACCTACACTTCTGTAAACGCCCACGCCTCTCGATCGTGGCTGCGCCCGCCACTTTTATTTCTGTCGGCCGCGTGACTCCGGCTAAAAAGTTTGATTAGCGTATCTCTCGACCCTCGCGATTTCGTACCAGTCGTAAAAGCCTCTTCGCTTCGCGCCAGCTTAGATATTCGCGGTGTAAATTTTACGCTAACCGCGTACCCGCGCGATCTCATCTTGCCCCGAGCAGGATTACAGGCATACACACATAATCGTTTCGATAGCCACGGGTGTAGACGACCTTTGCATAAACAAACTTCGTTTAATGATTTGTAAACACGCGAGAGATAGCGAACCAGAGCGCAAGAAATTAGACGAGGCGATAGAACAACAAACACCGGGCGCTTTGCTTAATCCGCCTCCGTGTTTCACGGTGAACGTCTACGGTGATTCGAATTTTGTTTGGACAAGAACACCTTGTTTCATCTGGTGTGCTTCTGACGCAACTCGTTTACCGAAATCACACGTCACGATCTCCCAAGACTGACCCTCCTCCTCCTCCGATCACCGATATTGCTTTCTCTAGGATAGTCAATCGGCGAAAGTGTTCTGCTTTTAGCGCGTTTTGCTGCAACTGCAAGTTGACCGGGTCGCAAAAAGACGATGTCGTGCGAGAAATGTGAACAGACCGTAGACCAGAATCTAGATCCAATGATATATTAGAATAAGCGATATTCAACCATGAACTTTAGGGGCTGCTGGCATCCCTCCAATAAGACAATTCCATGTCATTAAAAAATGACAAATTTACAGAGCCTGTAATCTAGATGCAATGATATTAGGATAAGCGATATTCGACCATTAACTTTAAAGGCTACTCGTTTAAATAAGACTGGTCCACGCCATTGAAAAAAGTGCCATTAAAATCCCCCTCAATTCCAAGCGTCGAAATGAAACGAAATTGACCAGTGACTGCATTGTCCCTGCGTCATGCATGCATTTGTAAAGTAGAATAGCGTGACAGGGGATGAATATTCATTGCGGCTCAAACTATAGGATTCTGCATCTTGTAATCTAGATGCAATGATATTAGGATAAGCGATATTCGACCATTAACTTTAAAGGCTACTCGTTTAAATAAGACTGGTCCACGCCATTGAAAAAAGTGCCATTAAAATCCCCCTCAATTCCAAGCGTCGAAATGAAACGAAATTGAGCAATGACTGCATTGTCCGTGCGTCATGCATGCATTTCTAAAGTAGAATAGCGTGACAGGGGATGAATATTCATTGCGGCTCAAACTATACGATTCTGCATCGGCTCGATCGCTGCGAACGTTTCGGACAAGGTGTTTACAGCTATTCGAAAGAGTTCTACCCCTTGAAGTTTCTTTGCACCCCCGATTCAGCCGCGAAGATGCGAAGAGGGTTGAGCATCGCTGAGCTGCAGTGCTTATACCTTGTCGATTTAGGCTACCTTTGAGAACCACTGTCCGATGCGGAAACGGGATGGGTGGGGATGGGATCGAAAGGCAGGGGGAGCACCGGGGGGGGGGATCTTTTGGCGTGCTGCGACAACGGTTCTGTTCTCTCAGTGCATGCTCGGTACTCGCTCGGCGGAAGACAGCGCAGCTGCGGGTTCGCGCGGACTCTTTGTCCACGGTTTGCTCGTGAATCGTGCACGCTGCCCGAGGGACTCGAGAGTGGCCGGACTGTGGCCGGAGCGTGCTCGTACGGTTCTGTGAAACAAAGTCCCCGAGGCCAGCCGAGGATCTGAGAGGACTCGTTCCGGGCCTCGGTGTGTTTGCCTTTGTCACGCGGTCTGGATTCGAAGCCTGCCGTTCCAGCACGCCTTGCGACGGTCGCTGCCCGTTTTTAGGAGGTTTTCAGAAACTTCTCGCAGCTCCGGACTCGTCTGATCGATAGGGCTCTCGCGATCTCAGCATCGCGGGCTCACCTGATCGAAGCGGACAGGTAAAGGGTGGCCGTGCGCGTCGATGCACTCGAGGCTTTAGCGATTAGCGATGGGTCTCGGTACCGGGTGTCCTTGCAGTCGCGATGCAAACTTGAAAATTCGATGACACGGTGCGGCGGCTCGGGGTGAACGATTCGCGCGATGCAATGGTTCGCGGAAAGTGATTCGATCGAGTTTGTATTTCGACTTTGAATCTCGTTCGATCGCGACGCTAGATTTATGGAGTGCCGACAACAGCTGTTTTGTACTGTTTCATGAAAATTACGAGCATACGTTTATTCGGATTATTGGCGATTTTTATTATAGTATACCTATTAGTTTTATTATAGTATACGCCCAATGAGACGTGTTTATTGAATTAATCTCCCGGAATTTCAATGATCGTAAATGAAAAAAATTTGCTACACGTAGTTTTGACGCGTTCCGTAAATCTGATGCTCGAAACAGTTACTGCACATTGTGCAATTTCGATATTTCAAGTTGCATGTAGTTCGTTGAATGAAAACAGATTTGTAGAACCGGCTCTGATAGCCTTATCTGTCTTCATGTTTTCAAATTTTCGCGAACCGTTTTTACCTGATTGTAATTCTATATTTGATCGTGCAAGAGCTTGTTGTTTAAAAATATCGCAATCTTATCTGGTGCACGGAAGCTTATTCTTAATCAAGAATAAGTGGAATCGCCGCATACGCGACAGACACGCTAAACGAGCCAATTCCCCTGCCGCTGCTTATGTTTATTAACATACGATTTCACGAAGACTTACGTTTTCACAAAGAACAGCACTGTGCCCGACTGCTAGGACTCCGGTTACAAACAAGGAGGCTTTTCTAGGTGTTTCGTGACATTTCACCTCTTCAAGGATGCCGGCACACGTGTGTACACATTGTTCGGGGCTCGATGTTTCCCACAGCCGACGTTACTTTACTTAGTATCAATATTAGTAGGACGTGGATATTCGAGATAAAAATTGGGTATTTACTTATACAATCAATACTCGATGAAAGATTATTGGTATTCAAATTGTTGTAACTTCGTGAAAAGAATTGCATTGTTTGAAAAGGTTGCGTCACTCCGAAGAGTAATATTTTTATGCTGAATTAATATAGTCTGCAATCCCCGTGTTTTTCTTTTGATAATTTTGATTAATACATTTGAAACGCGTCGTTTATAATATTTATATATAATATTTTTATCCTGAATTAATATAGTCTGCAATCCGTGTTTTTCTTTTGATAATTTTGATTAATGCATTCGAAAAACGTCGTTTATGCAATATTATTCAGTCTATTGATATTTTAATTGCCACGTGAGCAGCCGCAAAAATTTTTATAGAATTAACGTATTTTATCTAATCAAATTTCTTTTATTACAATAAATGATAATTATAAAAATTAATAAATAATAATTATAATTATATTAAAAATATATTATTAATATATTAATTATATATTAATATATATATAATTATATAATATAATACATAAAAAATATATTAATTTTATAATATTGTTACCTTCCGCGAATATTATTGTTCGTTTCTTTTATTAAATTTCTTTTATTACAATAAATAATAATTATAAAAATTAATAAATAATAATAATTATTATATTAATAATATATTAATTATATATTAATTATATATTAATATATATATATATAATTATATAATATAATATATAAAAAATATATTAATTTTATAATATTGTTACCATCCGCGAATATTATTGTTCGTGAAAGTTCATCCTTGAAGAGGTCGAGTAGGGAGGCTGGGCCAGGGGTAGTTTAAAAAATTGACGAAGTGCCTGGAGGGATCTGGTTCGATTTCAATTTTCAAAGTTAGATAATTGACTGTTTGAGAGCGCTGCCGGCGCTTTCTCCTCCTGCCTGATGCTGATTTCCCCCGACGATGACTATAACGCGCACACGTGCTCGCTATGATTGCATTAGCCGGGGGCCTCCCTCGAAGTCACCGTCAGACTCCACGGAACTATATCCGTTGTTTCACGCGTCGGACGCATGACTGCGCCGGCATGACGCAAAGTTATTCGACCGATTGCCCGCGAGATGACAATCCACGCCGGCAAATACGATTTCACAGGTTTTTACTACTTCGCGGAAACCTTTCGAATGGTCGCACTGTCGAAGACAGCGAGAAAGTGGATTTTCAATCTGCTAAATCGTGAAACGTGCCAAGTCTCGATCGCTGAGATCTATAGCACTCGAAATTACACGTTAGCTGCTCGATTTATTTTCCTTGGATATGTTCGCAATATTAGACGACACTTTGAAATCATTTTTGCTGTGCAGTTTGGCAATCTCGAGCTGTACAGGGTGTCCCCGAAATCACGGTACATGCGGCCGAGTGCTGACGTATTTTTGATTGAGATATCATTTTTTTTAACGTTATTTTTACCGATTTTTTGTATACATTTATTTTTACCAAATTAACTTCCTAGTCATTATGGAAGAAGTTGAAGAGTTTTGAAAAATAGTGATTAAATGTAAAGAACAATTTTAAAAAGTGTCCTCTCACCCCTCTGGTAAAAATAATGTTGAATTAAAATTACAAGAATTGCCTTTTTAACTGCTTCGGTAAAAATAGTATCGTTGCATAATTTTCGAGAAAAATTAGTTCAGTAATCCGTCAAGTTTGCGTGCTACGGTTTAGAAGAGTGGAATCAGTAGGTCATGATCAGACACGTTAGCCTATTGCTATTTTTTAGCACGCGTATTCGTCGAATTTTCGAGCTCCTTTTACTAAAAAAAAGGAAGCCTTAAACAAAGAAATATCATTCTTTCCTTCAATTTATCTCTCTCCACATAAACAAGTTCAGTGATAAAGATATAGTCTTTGATCGTAAATGCAAAATTCTACGAGCTATAAAAAGTTCGTGCTACTCTATTGCCTGATAGATTAAAACTAAATGAACGATTTGTTCGTTCTGAAAGATCAATTCTCTTCGCCGAGCGCAAACAGTGACTCAACGACGATGATCCGGTTGACGGAAGAGTTAAGTTCGACGAAATGATGTGAAATACGTTTACTTTGAAATGATCCGACGGCACTGTTGGTTTATTCAATGGTCGTAAATCTTGCGTACTAGCGTACGATAAGCCGATCCGTGTGCAGAATCGTGAAAGACACAGTTTAGCCGCGTGAACCGCGGTAAATCGTATCGGTCGTGTAAGGCCATTCGAGATCTTATCGCATACTCGAACTGCAGGGAAGAGCAAAAGTCTCTATACGGTGCATTCGAGCTCGGTGTACGACTTGGTAAGCGCGGCGAAACATGGCCTAAGATTCGAGCCTTCTCCCGACTCTAGTCGCGTAACGATTTACATATCTGCAGTGTAATCTTGGTTGACTGCACTCGAACTTGTGCAATTGTAGAAAATACAGTGTATTAGAAAACACGGGGCTTCCATTCGAAGCAGCTAGAATCAGCTGACCCGTTGACGGAATCGTGGCTGAAAAATAAAATGTATGGATTCGCGAAACATAACATTTTTACGATTTTATTTGTCGCTCTCGTTCGAGATACGTACGCCGCTTTGGCTGCTTTTTTGTCGTCAATAATTCCAACGAAAGAAGGAAATCTTTTATTTACTATATTACATGTAAATGGCAACAAAGAAAATTCATGTTTATTATTTTATTATAAAATGTATATATTATATTATTATATATATATTATTATAAAATATATGTTTATTATTTTATTTACGATTTCATTTGTTGCTCTCGCTCGATATATGTACGCCACTTTGGCTGCTTTTTTGTCGTCAATAATTCCAGGAAAAGAAGGAAATCTTTTATTTACTATATTACATGTAAATGACAACAAACAAAATTCATGTTTAATAGATTTTATTTACGATTTCATTTGTTGCTCTCGCTCAAGATATGTACGTCACTTTGGCTGCTTTTTTGTCGTCAATAATTCCTACAAAAGAAGAAAATCTTTTATTTAGTATATTATATATATATATATATATATATATATATATATATATGTAAATGACG